TTGGTTATCGAGATTTCTACTTTCTAACGCACTTAGCTCTATCGACAGTTTGCTTCTTTTCATTGCTTGAAAAGCAATGAGGGCTGCATAGAGAAATGAGGACCACTTTTTTTTTATAATTTTTTGAGGTTGATTTAACTGAAACTGCAAAACCTAATGATTATCATACTGTAATGTCCCTTCTTTCCCCCCGCCCCCCCCCTTTCATTTATGGACTTACCTGATAGATAGGAGAGCGCAAAAGTAAACTTTATTCTAGTCTACACAACCGTAGACGGAAAGCGCTAGGACCGGCCGTAACGTAATCGCTACCAGCCAGCAAACAATACGCAATCCAATTGCGTTATAAATAGTACCACTTTTATATCATGGGATTGCTTGAGGCTCAAGGCCGAACATTTACAGACATTACATGTGAAGCGTAGATCAGCTGAGGTTAAATTAGAGGGATTGGTATCGCTCATTCGTTTCTTCTAACATCACTGCTCATGATAATGTTTGTTTCTGCGTTTCCTTCGTTTTTGGCAAGAACTTTTTTTATCTTCAAAGCTTGTTTTTTAAATCTTTTGCATCGTTAAAATATATGGTTAAATTATTTTAGGTTGTCTGCGACGTTGATGAAGAAAGACGGTCACTGGAAAAGCAAGCGGAAGAGTTAGCCGCTTTATCGGATGATGGTTAGCAGCCTCTTTTTGAATTTTTAAAATTTTCAATTAAATTTCTGGTAATTCCCGGTGAATTTTACTGAGACTTTTTTTGCAGAAAGTCAAGAAAAATTGATGGATATATACGATCGTCTGGATGAGATGGATGCCGATAAAGCTGAAGTTAAAGCAGCCGAAATATTGCATGGACTTGGATTTACGAGACAAATGATGTTGAAGAAATGCAAAGATTTCTCGGGTATGTTCCCTGAAGCAATCGCAACTTCGAGTTTTCTCTGGCTTCGAATGGGTGCGGGCATCCAGGATTTACAGTTTGGAAGGATTTGCGAGTTTTTTTTAGGCGGTTGGAGAATGCGAATCGCCTTGGCACGTGCTCTCTATCTGAAGCCATCTTTGCTGCTGCTCGAT